TCATGGTGACACCTGCATCCAATGCTTTTGTGACCTGATCGTAAAAGACAATCAGGTTGGTCTGACATGACCTGCCCCTAATGAAACCCTGCTGGTTGCCCTTGAGCATCATCCCCGGTGCCGGCCCATCACAGATGTGCTCCTTGATCTTCTGAAAGAGTTTCCCCAGGATTGAGGTAAGACTGACGGGCCTATAGTTGCTCGGATCCTCCCTCCTCCCTTTTTTCAAGATGGGGACCACATTGGCTATCTTCCAATCATCTGCCACCTGGCCTGAGCACCACGAGCGCTCGTAAAGCCATGCCAAGGGCCCTGCAATAACCCCTGCTAGGTCCCTCAACACGATGGGGTGGAGAGCATCTGGACCTGCTGATTTGAACACATCCAGCCCCTCCAGAAGCACTCTAACCTGGTCCTCCTCAACCTTAGGTCTGGAGGCGTTCCCCTCGAGTCCTTCTTGAATCACGGTGGGGGAGTCCTGGTCCCTGCACATCATCTTGGTGGTGCTGGGAGGGGCAGCCCCCACTGCTGTGCGCACCCCCAGGGGTAGCACGGGGAGCATGTCCTCCCCAGATCTGTGCATGGGGCGAGGGCAGCCTGCCTGCTGCGTATTTGCTTGGGGCCCAGGATGCTCCATTGTCTTCCTGGCAACTCTGTTTAGGCTGGGCGGCCTTGGCACTGGGGGGGAGGTGCCCTCTAGATGCAAAAAAAGGCATCGTTCACACTTTATTGACATTTTGTATACATGGTGGCTCAGTATTAGCCAACACATGATTTACTCAGATTCCACATAGTGTTCGTAAGTAATAATTATGCACCAGCTGCTCTGACATCTCACCTGCCTTCTCCTCTTTGGTAGGTGTCAAACACCTCAAGTGGGAGACGGAGCATGACAGACAGCTTCACAACAGAGATGTGAAAAGTATGATCAAGAAGAAAAAGCAGTTCAAACACAAAGGGCTGAAAAACAAACATAAAAGCAAGAAGTCAAGAAAATGAATCATACACCTTACTATGGATATTTTAAAACCAAACCCCAGACTTTGTTTCTACTTACATCTAATTTACACTGTTAGACCATTTAATTTGGTCTTTCTTCCTTATGTCACAGATTCCACACTGCTCGTTGCATTTGTAATAAGCTGAAAAATAAGTAAAGGGTATCTGTATTGCCTGGGTGACAGAATGCAGGTGGAGTTTTGAGGTAATTTTCTCAGCATGAAAAACACTTATTACATGTTTCCCTAACTTTAAACACAAGTTTTTAAAACCTCTGTTTCTAAATGTTAAGCAGTAATGCAAAAGCAGGGAATAATTCATTTTCAGGAATGATATACAGTAAAAGCTCTGTTATATTGCATCCTCGGGAATGAGGGATGCCGGATAACAAAATATGCTGGTTAACTGAGCAGACCGGGCTGCTGTTGGGAGGGCCGCCGCTACCGTGGCATTGCTGCCCCTCCCGTGGGCCCTGTGGGACAGGGAGGCGGGCCCCGCACAGCCCGTTATGCCCCTGCACCGTAGGGGGTTGGCAGCACAGGCTGTTTTGCCCCGGGTCATGGGGGCTCAGAGAAACCGGAAGTGCCATGATGGGCACTTCTGGTTTCACTTTATCTTACAAGCCAGCATGCTGGTTAATTGAACACACTGGCTTGTAAGGTGCCGGTTAACAGAACTTTTACTGTAAAAGGGTTTTGCCACATTTCAATTCTCTAGTTCAGGGGTTGGAAACCTGTGGCCCATGGGCTGGATCCAGCCTGCAGCAGCCAGCACAGATTTGTTGTGGGTAGGTCTTGCTTGACCATTCTCATTTCCTTCTATGACCAGAAGATGCATCACCATAGATAAAAGAGAAGGGGTTGATGTCATATATTTGGACTTTAAAAAAAGCCTTTGACCTGGTGTCCCATGATGTCCTCATGGAAAAATTGGGCAACTGCAGCCTTGACTACTCCACAGTCCAATGGCTGCGGATCTGGCTCTGAGGTCAGACCCAGAGAATGGTAGTTGACAGAACTGAATCAACATGGTACTCGGTGACTAGTGGTGCACCCCATGGCTCTGTTCTTGGACCTGCACCTTTTAACGTTTTCATAAACAATCTGGACACTGGTGTCAAAAGTGGACTGGCCAAATTCGCTGATGACACCACACTTTGGGGAAGACTCTCCACACTTGAGGATAGGCTGGTGATCCAGGCCAACGTTGATGGGCTTGCAAGGTGGGCAGATAAAAATCTGATCGCATTCAATATGGAGAAATGCAAGGTGCTCCACCTCTGGAATCAAAACCCGCATCACACTTATAGGCTCGGCAATGCTACAGTTGCTAGCACCATGACCGAAAGAGACTTGGGGGTCATGACTGACCACAAGATTACTATGAGCCACCAATGTGACACCGCAGCTGGCAAAGTGAACAAAACTCTGGCTTGCATCTACCGATGCATCTTAAGCAAGATCCAGAATGTCATCTTCCCGTTGTACTCGACCTTGGTGAGGCCACAGTTGGAGTAGTGCATCCAATTCTGGGCTCCACAATTTAGGAAGGACGTGGAGAAGCTTGAAACAGTCCAGAGGAGAGCTATGCACATGATCAGAGGGCAAGAGAACAGGCCTTTTGAAGAGAGGCTGTGAGCTATGGAACTCTTCAGCCTGGAGAAGCACAGGCTCAGGGGTGATGTGGTGGCAGCCTACAAGTACATAAGGGGTGTGCATCAGGATTTGGGGGAACACCTGTTCACCAGAGCACCCCAGGGAATGACAAGGTCCAACGGTCACAAACTCCTGCAAGACCATTTTAGGCTGGACATTAGGAAAAAACTTTACTGTCCAAGCCCCCAAGGCCTGAAACAGACTCCCCGCAGAGGTGCTGCAAGCACCTACTCTGGACACTTTTAAGAAACATTTGGACATTTATCTTGCTGGGATCCTTTGACCCTAGCTCACTTCCTGCCCCTTGGGCAGGAGGCTGGACCCGATGATCTTGTGAGCTCCCTTCCAGCCCTAATGTCTATGAAATCTATGAAGCTCAGAGTATCAGCACTCCAGGGCAGCTTGGGGAGCAAAGGGGTCATTTCCCCACTCCAACTGCCTGTCTTTCCATGTGTTCCTTTTTTCTGAATTCCCAGGTCTCCCTGTTCTGCTCCTACACTGAAGCTGAACCCTTCCCATTGGTGGCAAGGGTGGCAGCTTGGGTAGTCTGAGAAAACAGAGATTTGTAATCTGTGGTAGCATGCAAAATTGTGAATCATGCCCTGTGGCTGCAAACTTCCACCGACTTGTAGTCTAGGTGGCAGCAAGTAACTTACCTTCCAGAATGGCTGGAAATCTCTTGTGCATTGTATGCCTGAAATCTGACAAAACAAGATAAAGTTACAAACTCTTTTTTCTGAAAAGCTTAGGTAATCAGTTACTAATCAAAAGTACGTTTTTACATTTTTAAACAGCCCTTCCTTTAACCCACTGTCTCACTCATTCTCATGTGGCCTGACAGTCCAGTCTCCAGCTGGAGCCTCACTGCCTCCATGTGCAGCTTACCACTGTAGTGCTCCCAGCCCAATGGCATGTTGGCCTGGAGTTGCGTGCCATTGGATGGGCGGGCTCTGCGCCTCCACGTGGGACTTCCAGCACTCCAGCGAGAAGCCGCACAAGGAAGCGAGCAGAAGACCGCCCAGCCTGATGGTGTGTCTCCATGCCTCCTTATGTGGCTTCCTGCCTGGCCTGATGGCGCGTAGCTTGCAGTCCACGTACCATTGAGCCTGACCTCCAGCACTCCAGTGGGAAACCCCACGTGGAGGCAGGGAGTCGAGCTCTATCAGGCTGGGAGGGCTCCATGCCTCCATGAGTGGTTTCCTGCTGGAGTGCTGCAAGCCCCACATGGAGGGATGGAGCTGGCTGGTCTAACCCAACGGCATGCGGCCTATACCCCCCAGGGCCAGTAGGAGCTCCCCTCCCCACCTACCCAGTCGTTTCGTGCCACCACATCACTGAGGTGGAGGCGCAGAGCTCAGGGCTGTTAAATTATGCAATGATACACGGTCATGCCTTTTATGTGCAAAATTGCGCAGGCACATCATTGCATAATTTCCCCAGGGTGTATGTAGTGCTCACTTCATTTCAGCAACTAGGGTATGACGCCTACCGCATTCCTCGAAATGCAAGCCCCACCCTTCACACAAGCAATGGACAACAAGCCCCCCCCGCGCATGCGCGGTGAGCGCCCCCCTCGCGACGGGGCCGGGGCTAAAGCGCGAAGCGGCTGTGCGCCTGCGCCAAGAAGCGCCGTTCCGGGTCCTGCGAAGCCTTCGCCGGTGAGGCGAAGTGCGCCTGCGCGCGACGTTCCGGGGGACTACCTTGATTGGTGTGCAAGCGGAAGTAGACAGCGTAGGCGGCAACCACGCCGGCCAGCTCCACCAGCATTAGCCTGCGGATGGCCTTCTTGGTCGAGGCGTTCATGGCTCCGCGTGATCCGACGCCGTACACGGATGCCCCGGCCGTGACCCCGCGACCCGGAAGCAGAAGGCGGCTCGACTTCTGCCCCCAAGACCTCAGATCCGCCACACACTACAGCAGCCCCCACCCCCCC